GCATACAGTGATTCTTCCAGCAGAGGTGACCTCTGGGACAATCCCCGTGCGCTCGGCACTCCACACATCTCTCCCTCTCACACACCGCTGCCCCGGCGCAGTGGCTGTCGCTAGAACATGCCACACACCTGTGCGCCGCACAGACCAGGCCTGCGCTGCACTGGGAGTCGTGCGCGCAGGTCACGCAGCGACCTTGATGGCAGTGACCTGAGCGGCATGGACGGTAGGAGCCGCACTCGGCGACTGTTTGGAACGTCTTCAGAAGCAGGCCGCATAATACGTGCTGTAGAGGGAGAAGGAGTAGATGTTAGACGAAAAAAGTAGTACCTAACGCACGAATTAGAGCAAAACCAAGGTTTGTGTTGACGCGAAACATTGACATTCGCTTTGTTTTCCTAGGCATATTTCATACCCGCATTGCATGATATTCATCTCGCACATTACCTTGCAGTGAAATCCGGTATGCACTGGTGTGTGTACCACTTTGGGTGGTACCACCGGCTTTGTGTGGCTGGATTTGCGGCTCGGAGTGCGCCGTCCGAGCATGGAGAACAGGAACTTTGGCTGTCGGTGTCCCTCCTGGGAGTCGGAAGTTTCGATATCGGCCAGCACACAGCTCACCTGTGGATGGTTATCGGGTCAACTGTCAATGGTCAGTAGTGCGTGAATTAACATATACTTACATACCGAAACGGCCCTGACTTTACCAATGGTTAATATTTCCGTCAAATAGGACGGCGAAAGAAATGATGCGCGTCATGTCTCGCTTTCAAGCAATCAGTAACTGAGTAATATTATCCCTGCCTTAAAAAATTACCTCTCTTTTTCTCTTGCTATTTAAAAAAGGGCACGACATGACAACTCACTCCTCAAGCTCAGCTCCTAGGCTGCGTTGCCGCAGAAAGAAAAGATTTATTGGTGAGAGGTCGTCATGAATCATGAAAAATGTTTGTCATTTTAGGTTTGATCAAAATTCAGGTCATCAGATGAGAGGTCATCAAAAGTGACATTTTCCCGAATGTCAACTTTTGGAGTGCCAAGTAAAAGGTAACAGGTTAGAATTTAAGTACCGGCCTTCATTATAATGCCACGTTTTGGCGCCTGCCATGAGGCAAAGATAAATGACACCGTATACATGCATTGTTGCGCCACCCATAAAGCAGACCCCACCATCATCAATATTAGTTCCCTGCTGTTGCTTTCTACCAGGGATCACCGTGGGAGTCAACGAACGACAATATGCAAGGCCCATTTACCGACAAAATGCAGCGCACCGCTTACTTTACATAAAATACCTTCCGCACTATATAAGTTCAGGGCACTTCGCCACGCACGGACAGAATCGCAAATGAGGACGATGTGCTTATTATGCACTAACAATTGTCGTGGAAGCTTTTTGCCTGTTAGACGTTTTACCTAGCACTGAAAACGATATAAAAGAACGAAACATAAAAGTGTCCTTCACAAGTTCCCGTCCCGAACTTCCCAGTGTACGATTAAACCATCGCAGAATATCAGGCACGCCAAGTTACATGCCCCTGGTCTTCATAAGCCGTAGAATGATACATATTCTTCGCATATGCTCTTCATAGTTTACGTCTTACAAATCACTTCAGACACAGATAACAGTAGTACACTCGGGGGCAGATTGATGTTCCACCACTCCCTACCCATCGGGCGATCCCATGGCTCAGCACTGGCTGCTGCCAGTGTTGCCTGCCCTCAGCACTGCTCAGCACTGCCTGCCAGTGCCAGTGCTGCCAGTTCTGCCACTGGCAGCAGCCAGTGCTGAGCCATGGGAGCCCGATGGGTAGGGAGTGGTGGAACATCAATCTGCCCCCGAGTGTAGTACTGTTATCTGTGTATTACTGTTATATGTGCTTCAGACAATCAGTAAAATCGATATTTAGGGGAGACCCGAGAGGTATGGGCCGGTTTTGTAAAAAGGCAATTTTCTTCCAGTGGGCAGTGGCTAGACCCGGTTTTTCACTCTGTGTACGTGAAATTGCCTTTCGCCTGCAAAGTGTGACTGATATTATATATCTGGGATCAGCTATTTTGTCTCAAGATAACTTTCAATAAACCATGCGCTTTTTCGATCCATCAAAATACACCGGGAGGTATGGGCCATGGCCCGGGAGGTATGGGCCGGTGCCATGTTTCGTATTATTTTCTCGACAATGAGAACAAAACTCGTAGCTGGTATCTACCTTGATCTCTCTTATAGCCCAGGAACTGCATAAGCGGCCAACAGCTTACTTCATGGATGTCACTTGGGCACATATATATTTTGGTAAACTCAATCATGCACCATGAAATGAAGTAAGTAATATTTTTATGTTCAAATGAAATTTGAAGTTAAATTTTCAACCTTGCGCGACAAAAATAAAACTTATTGATGATGACACTCAATGAAAGCATCTTTTTATTGATTTAGGATCACCGGGGGTGGGGTGGCCTGGCCCGAACCTCCCGGTTAGGACGCCAGAATTTGCGTCGCATCTCAGCTCATAATCTTGCAAGAAAGCTTCAAATTGTCTATCCAGTCTTAATTTGCATGCTTTAAACTTTATGTTAGCATTGGTATGACATCATAAAACGAGTGTGGTTCAAATTTATCACGAATTTTATGTATGTGCAGAATTTTACTCGAAGAGGGCAAAAACGCTTTATCACCGCTCATTCCCAAAGAAGACTGAGAAAGATTTTGAAAATCACGTGGGTTGTATAACAGAATGGCTGCTACCAGTCTACGCGGTCAAAATGTGTAAAAATACGCAACACTTCTTCAAAACTGCGACGGCCGATACCTCCAGGGGGCCCATACCTCCCGGGTCTCCCCTATTCAATGGCAACTGAATAGTGAATATGAACCGAAATTAGTTGCGAAAGTCTTGGTTTATCGGAATCAAGGCTATGTAAAACCATCGGAATGGAAAAAACTCTAGTGCTATTAATGGGAAATTTATATAATTTAGATTTCCCCTTTAGTTTGATCTTTAGGTACCCTCCTCAGATTGTCGCCATGCCCATCCCATCCCCCACCCACTCACCAGCAGAGCTGCCAGCAGCCACAGTCTCCCCATGTCTCGCAGCTCCTCTCTGGTCGCGGCACGCGCCCACACTGAGCGGTTCCTCCTTCCAGTCGGCACCGTCCGAGCTGCGGTCCGATCCCGCCCGTGCCGACACCAGAGTATCTACCCAGACGTGTCAGTAATCAGGACTGGGCGACCGTCCGGCCGACCGTCCGGCCGGACTGCCCCACATGTCGCCCGGAGACTCGTCCAAGACGAGTCCCCGTCGAGTCTGCCGTCTAGCAAGTGCCTTTAAAGTCGGGGGTCTGAGCCGGCCAGCTTGGCGGATTGGCCGGAAGACGAGTTGCGGTCCGCGGAAGGCGGTCGGTCATGCGTGAAGGGCCGATGAGATTTGTCGTCCGCCTCCTCAGGACGCGATGGCGGTTCCGGGCTTACCCTGTGACTGCATGGTGACTTGACATGATTCGTTGGTGATCGTCATGATAGTGGTGGTGTGCTAATATTGTTACACAACGGTTTTGGTAGCATTCGCCCTGGTGATTGTGATGAGCTGGCAGTAGCTCGGATGGCTTATTGACATAGCATAGCTACTTTTTATGTGAACCTCTGCGCCTTGTCACATTCAAGGCCGTCTCCTGAGTAATGAGCAATGATCATGTACCTAATCACTAATCAGGTGTTGTGTAGCTGAAGTTACCTTTCACTTATCCCTTTGGACGGTATTAATGCAAGATAGGATTTTGTTTACAGTTTTTACCACTGTTTTGAGCCAACACGTATTATACCGACTACCACAAACCCGGTGACTTGAAAAATTCGTCCAGTTTAATTATTTGTAACTTTGCCACAAGTTTTGTGCTTAACTTTCGTTCCAGTGATGGGGTTTATTTATACTTATGTTTAACAGCCCGCCAGAGTCTTCGACGAAACCATTCCAGAAACTTAACTGCCTCATTTCCTCCAGCCGTTTTCTCTGGTTCTTTCTAGTCACGCTACATGTTGACGGTATTCTATGCCGACAAGAATGCAACTCTCTAAACGAACCAATTCAACTTGAGCACTTAGCAAGAAGGTGATTACGGAGCGAGCGAAGCGAGCGGAGTCTTACGTAGAATAACGGAAATTTCTGAGTATGAGCGGCCGGCCGGCCGACCGGCCGTGGTCACGATTCTGCGACGCTTATATATCAGCAACCACTTGACCGATTTACATGCGGTAATTTTTGTAGGGTAGCTTTATTCCGTCTACCAAGTATTGGACTATTCCCGATGCATGTGGGTGACCCCTTATGCACGTGCCACGTGCAAAACGAAGAGGTGTCAGTTTTGTAATTGTTGCAATATCTCGGCAACTACTTGGCCGATTGCGCTGAAAGTTGGCATGTAGTTAGCCACCCACTAGGCACTGCATATCCATGAGTTGGGGTGCTGCTGCACGTGCGCACGTGCAGGGGTCGTTTCCAGATCTCGAGAACGGCTGGACCGATGGCGCTCAAATTTGGTACACGGTTAGAGACCAGTTAGTAGGGTGCCGTGCACAAGTCAGTTGGGACCCATTTTGCACGTGCGCACGTGCAGGGTGCCGCTTCCAGATCTCGAGAACGGCTAGGCCGATTGTGCTCAAATTTGGCACATCGCTAGAGACCGGTTAGTAAGGTGCCGTGCACACAAGTCAGTTGGAGGTACCCCCTCGAAATTTCGCACGTGCAAGGCCCACCCTCTCGCTCGCTCCGTTAGTCGCCCCAAAAGGCGTTATACTGGTAGGTAGGCATGTTTAACCTTTATTGTCCCAGACATTTTATTGAGTTTGTTCATTTAAAAAAAAAAAAACATGCAATCGCATTGTCGTCAAATAGGATTTCTGCAAAAATGTCAGTACCTACCTACTGATCAAGCTACTTCGATATGGACTATGCTCAAGTTTTCTGTTTTATAACATCGCCTTCGTATCCAAACCATCTCCTCCTTTGTTTTATGCGTTTATTGAGCACATGTCATTCCGATCACACACGCAGTGAAACGCCATGCCAAGGGCTGCGGGTGGCGCCAAGATCTGCGCACACCGGACCGGAGAGAGAGGGGAGGAGGTAGAGAGAGAGAGAGATGGGGGAGATCCGGCGTGAGGCAGATCGAGGCACCGTTTGGCACGTGTACTTGCAGAAGGGCCCCAAACCGGCCCAGCGCCTCAGCCCCGGGCGGACCGTCTCACTGACACACTCTAAGGTCAGTGACCTGTGACCCGGTGACCTTGACCGAGAGCCGGGTCACTCGGGGTCACCAGTCACCTGACCTCACATCTCGTGAGACACACAATGCGAGCGAAATGCGGAGCACATACTCGCTGGTATCACAGCATCAAACCAATTCGAAGAAGAGGCGTCATCTGGTTCAGTACCGATTTCGAGCGGGGGTCATTTTCCGTTGGGATCGGGCGGGAAAGGAAAGAAAAATTAACGATATGGGCATTGCTGTGCAAGACATGAAACTCAACACCACTGAGAAATGTTAACTCTTTTTTAACACCTTCATTCGTGACAGAAGTCATGAATGAAGTGTGGCTATTGCTTCCAACAACAAAAACATCAGTCCTAAAAACAAGCAACAAGATGTTCGCTGGGCTGTTCCTGGGGCCGATGAACTGACGCGTTCTCAGCTGCCTACATATCCCCTGTCGCCACCTTACGCCAGGTTAAACAGATCGTCATCACTGTCTAACATCAAATCATCCTTCTGTGGCGGTGGCGGAGGCGGCTGGGGTGACGGCGCCTTCGCCTCCCTCTTCGGACTCTCGTTCCTCTTCGGGCTCGGCGATCGCGGCTTGTCATCCTTCGTTCTCCCGCTGGCCGGGCGAGGACTGGGACTGCGACTGTCCCTCCTCGAGTCGTTATCCCGAACACTCAGCGCGTCACCGTCCTCACGCTTGCGTCGCTTCCGACGTTTCTCCGAAGACACTGGTCGACTGTAATAGCCATCCTGGAAGTACTTGGTCTCCGGGACGCCATCGCGACGCGTGGTCCTGCGCATCACCATCTTGGGCTTCTGGTCTTTCCCTTCGACGAGGCCGAACTCGCTGGCGGCCCAGCGAACCTTGGCGACCGTCTGCTCCTGCATGATCTGGATGCACATACTGATGAGCGCCATACCTGTCGACAGGATGAAGAAGAATGGTGACATTCTTCAATGATAGCTAGATGAACGTTGCTGAGTTGTGTTATTAGATGAGTAACCTATACATAGTGTCTACATTCATAACGTCTAGGGCCTAAGTAATGATTGTTGGCGACTATCCTACGTTTTTGCATTTTTTAGTTGAAGCAGCAATTCCCAGGTTCAATTCTAACATTAGTTCAGACCATCTGAGCTCTGCACCCGTCAGCGCTTACCGATAAGGCAGTAGCCGATTGTGATTCCCATCTTGACGGCCTTGATGACCGCGTCGTCGCTGGCTTTGTCCATGAAGCTGCCGGTCATTGCGTTCGGTCATTGATGGCGAGGCGACTCCCTATATCGTACAACTGTCTCACTTTTAGTCTTAATGAAAATGTGATTGCGCTCTGCTTTTTTATTTGTTCCTGCATTTACCTCTACCCTTCAAAACTCCCTCCCGTCCACCCATCCTACCTGACTATGTCAACATCATGACATGTCTCTCTCGTACTCTCCCTCCTTCCATCTCACCTGTTTCCGGGCACCATGTCGCCGAACCCGATGGTGGAGAGGGTGACGAAGCTGAAGTAGTAGGAGGCCATCATGTCCCACTGCTCCCAGCGAGAGAAGATGAGGGCTCCCAGACCCAGGTACAGCGCTATCATCATCAGATTGATGGTGATGGGCACGTTGACCTCGTCGGTGGGCATGTACTCCTCCTTGCCGACTACGTCGTCGGAGACCCGCTGCGCGCGCCGGCCGGGCTTCTGTTGCTGTTTGTAGCGCGTGCTGCGGCACCAGCGGCAGCAGATCCGGCTGTCGGGGAGCAGAAGCGGGAGGTTACATCAATGCCAACATCCATGCCAGGTGCATTCATTGTGGCGCTTACAAATACACATACATGTGACTGCTTTCTCTGTGGATCCACTAGGCCTTGACTTGCTTATGTAGATATCATTTCCTCATTTTTTCAACGTCGCTAGCCTAATCTTTAACCTTTCGCATACCTTTAAATAGTGATCATTACAGAACGCATACCACGCCCCGACAAAGAGACTGCGGAAACTCCTCGACCTTCACAGAACTGCGTCCCACCTGCAGGAGCTGTGTATATGGCTTACTACCTCATCTAGGACTGTCGCACCCACCTGTATGTGTAGGTGAAGACCTTGCCCATGCCGTCGCCGATGTTGGCCAGGAAGACGAGCAGCAGCGGCGTGCCGATCATGGCGTACCCGATGGTGAACAGCTGACCCTCGGTGGTCTTGGGGGAGATGTGGCCGTACCCAATGGTGGTCATAATGGTTACGGTGAAGAGCAGCGCGCTGCTGAAGTCCCACTCGTACGGCCAATCGTCCTTTGTGCCGTCATAGCCGTAGTTGTTGACCATGTCGATCACGAAGGACTCGATGATCTCGAGGTGGCCCTTGATCTGAGGCAGTTGGAGGAGGTGTTGTGAGAGAAGCTGTAGGTGTGAAGGAGTCGATGTTGTGCGTGAAGAGGTAGCTGAATTTGTACGTGAAGAAGCTGGAGATGTGCGTTAAGGAGGAACTGGTTTTAGAAGTTGTACGAAAGAATAGCTAAGTTAGGTGGCAGTATTTTTCCATCGTGATTGGCTGATTCTGCTGCGAAAATTATCGGATTAAGTTTGACGTCAAGCAAAAGAACGCCTGAAGTCAAAGCTAAACAATAAAGATCGTTTGAGGTGATACGCAAGTCATTCCATTTTAGCCATTTTAGTCGCTGCCTTAGGCGCTAAAGCCGACTTTGCTAGCTAACCGTCTTTTATTTTTTGTTGAATCATGCGGGAAGCGTGCCAGCCTATCTCTTTAGCCGGAGCTCATCTTTACTTAGCCCAGCATGAGTCAGCCGGAATCAATTTCAGGCTTTGCGGTAAGTGTGGCTGCAGCGGCTCTCGCATCCGGTCATTTTGTTTATGTAATATTGAAATGAAGAATGGTTGAGCTCTGATTCACTCAGCATTACCTACTCGAGTGAGGGCGTTGAACAATTGCCGGGGCGCCCGTGTCTGGGTCTAGAATGTTACTTTTATTATGATCATGCCATTTGTTCGTGAGTGTTATAAAACCTCAATATGGTTCAGGCTTAAGTTCAAAGCAGATGCCAAATTTCGAAGCAATGAAAATTTCCATTTACTACTGAAGGCGCACTAGTTACGAGGAGAAAAAACGCAATTCTATAGAAACATTATTGCCCCAGCTCTTCTATCTGGAATAGTTAGCGACTGGTAAATAGAGCCAGTAACCCAAAAGCTGTTCGCCGCTCAGGTGACACCACCACACCTTTTTGTTCCACTCAGGGAACGTGAGGTTCTCCTGCGCGGCGTAGTGCCACCAGTAGCTGGTGAAGTAGTTCTCCCCGTCCAACTTGTCCCGGATCTTGGTCCGCCGCAGAAGGAACATCTGGTCTTCGTGCGGCGTCTCCATCTGGATGAAGACCCAGGCTCCTGGCGATGTGGAAGACGTGGTGGGCGCGATAGTGGGTCAGAAGCAGAGAGTGGAAACCGATGAGGCGAGTATTGGGCAAAGGGATAGGGTAGAGAGAGAGAGAGAGAGAGAGAGAGAGAGAGAGAGAGAGAGAGAGAGAGAGAGAGAGAGAGAGAGAGAGAGAGAGAGAGAGAGAGTCGAGAGAGGGAGGGAGGGGGAGAGAGAGAAAGTCGATAGAGTAAGAGAAACGGAAATATAGAAAAATAGAGAATATAGGTAGAAATAGAGAAAGGAAGGGAGGGTATAATAGAGAGGAAGAGAGAAAGAGGCGAAGACTGAACATGTAAGAAGTACAGAAAGAAGGAGTTAACGAAAAAAGAGATTCAAAAGGAGTGACGAAATAAAAAAATGCGGAAATAAGAAGTTTTACAGTTTTAGGTATGTCAGTAAAAGGCAAAAGCATTATCCGAGATGAGTGCCTACCTATTACAAATGCAGTACACGAGCCGGTGAAACCGACATGTTTCACACCTAACAACGCCAAACAGTGTTCGCGTGCATTCACTGTGCACCTTGGAGGCATATTTCACCATCCCCGGAAATGAGTTGAACAGTTGGGGTAATTTCGTTGATGAGGGCGAACAGGGAAAAGCTGCTAGAAACACAATAAAAAGTTGCTGTAATTTGAAATTGGGCACAAGGTCACAAAGTATGTATGTCTGATTAATATGTCTTAAGAAAATTTAAGAGGACATTCCCGTGAGTGTTATTGGTTGTATGTTTGTACTTAGTACTTCCGAATGTTTATTTTATTCTGAAGTGATCTGTTTGAATAACTTGTAGGTAAATAACGGAACAATACATAAATCTGGACGTTGACCGCTCTATAAATAAATCTCTGGGATAGTTCTCAGCGGCTTGTGCCGCTATTCCCAATTCGCTGATATGTCTTGTCAGAACTGACATTCTATCGGTCTTAGCCTGTCCGTACCAGCTATTTCAGACCGCAGGACCGTTCATGAATACGAAGAGGCATATTACTAACTATATGTAAAATAATCCGAGCTTTATAACCCTGGGAATACCTACCTTTATAGCGAAGTGCGGTTGTTCGACTTTATCCCGCAATGCACGTGTTCCAATATTGCTCAGTAAACACCATATGGCGTTGTGACACATAACTGAGCGTCGATTGAAATAATGCGGCGATAGTTGCACCTTCTTCACATATGTATTTACGTTTTACTTATTGTAGATCGATGTAAAGTTTCATGATGTCTCATGTTATCCCCACGAAACGCACAACCGTCACAGTGAACGAATCTATTGAAAATAAACGCTAATAAGATTTTCCCGAACGCAAAAAGAACTTACCGAACGCGGCCACAAACGAGACGAGCAGGAACATTCCGACATGTCCGAACAGGAACTTCAGCAGCCGGACGTAGATGGGTTTCGGCTCCTCCTTCTGATGGGGATTGGCCTGCTGGGATCGGAAACGATGGCTGTCAGATAAACAGCATAGGTACGTAGGGGAAGCGGGGGGAACACCGCCACTGTGGGAAACACCGCCACCCCATCTGGCGGCGAAAGTATGAACTATAAAGTGTAAAAATCCGTTATTTCCTATTAACCGCACGAAGGTAAGCGTCTTCTGATTTGTGTTCCGGTGTTTCAGTGTAATCGAAGCTCATTGTGGGCATTTAAAGAAAAATGCACATTCTCTTATAAAAATTCGATGAGTTAGGAGCACTTTTGAATGTCTTTAAGTAGAGACTCATTTTGATTTACTTGATAACATCGAAAAATAACTGATCGGCTTTGTCCAGTAAGATAGGTTTGCTTGAACCGTGTAGTACATTCTTGCCGCTGGCGATTTTTGCTTGTGATCACTTATTGGGGAACACCGCCACCCCGTGGCGGTGTTACCCCAATTGAGGTTGCGGTGTTTCCTGTTCGTAGCGTGATAAGTGATGAAATTCCAAAGACACGCTTTATTTATGTTCGTAGATGTTCCTAAGTCGGGAATAAGCAGCTTATTTGACTTTTTACTTTATATTTTTCATGCATCCCGACCAAGCACTTGCCAGCTGTATAAAACTGGCAAACAGCTTATGAACCTATACCTATTTAGGTGTCCATTACCGATTATTTGCGAAAATCACCACTTACCGACAGGAAACTCATCGCACGCGATCTCTGAACAATTAAAAGCTTTCGTAGTGATGGGTTGGGTTAACATCAACACCGGTGGCGGGGTTACCCACACAATTTGTAGGCGGCAAATATGCAAGGTATTTTTAAAAGTCTTGATACATGAAAACCTTTTAGGAGCATGCAAAATAAGTACCTAAAACACGTGAGCAAATGTTTAAATATTGTAACCAAGACAATAACTACCAAGAGACTTCACACATATTCTCTCATGTTGGCGAAAAGCTTAGGGGGGCGGTGTTACCCCCGCTTCCCCTACAGGTGTTTGGTGTAGGTATAAAATGCATCAAAATTCCACTAATCAGCTCCCTTCCCTCAACCATTGAAGAAATATAAAGAAAGAATAGAATAATGCATTTTTTGTCATCATAGAGGTATATTTTCATAATTGTAGGTATTATGAAAGAAATAGGATTATAAGAAAGAAGTATATGCGGATGGATATAACGGAGTTTCTTTCTTCTTTTTACCGGCGTCTCCATGGCTTGGTACTCTTGTTTGGTCATGGTGCCGGACTGCGGCTCCCCGGGCCGGAACCTGCGCTGGAACTTCTCTGGGCCTGGGCTGGTGTCTAGCCGCCTGAAATTGTAGACAGCGGGCTAGTAAGTACGGTGTACGGACAGGACAGGGCTGATCGGCCTGTAAAGAAATTAAGGAACAATGAACGTTTATTTGGGCCGAATTGCTCTAGCCACTCGTAGGTTGTTACTAGGTGCGTACGAAAACTGACGCTCGTAAAATATTAGCTCACAGCTTACTTAAATCCATCAAACATCTAAAATTCATTTGAACAGAAAAATAAATTGAGACATGTTCCCTGCCAATAAACTCGGCACTAGTCTTCGTCTTTCCGTCACAACCCCCTCTCATGCACATCTCCACCACACAACTCCCTCCCCCCCCCCCCCCCACCGGTCACCATACCTCGGGAGTAGCTCTGTAGGACGACACCCCGTTCGGGGCACATACCGGTGGAGCGCCGCTCTTGGCAGCTGACGGGGGTGTGCCAGGAGGCCGGGGGTCGAGCCGCCGCGCCCCACCTCAGCCGCGTCAGCAGCGTCCGGCGTCTCCATGGAGCTGCAGTAACGTGACGTGACAGCGTGACGTGGAGGTTTGTGATGTGACGCCGTCGTGACGGTGGGGTGACGTGATGTGTGATGTTATTGGATAAATGTAAAGTGATGTGGAGCTAACGTAGCGTGATGTATAGATGTAAGGTAACGGGCTGCTGCCGGCTAGGAGCTATTTAAGGTCGTAAGCTACCTCGGCGGGGGGGGGGTCGTAAGCTACCTCAGCGGGGGGAGGGGAAGGTCGTAACTCGTAAGCTACCTCAGCGGGGGGAGGTCGTAAGCGACCTCGGCGGGAGGCCGGGTCAGTGGGGCGGTCAGTATACGGTGATGGAGGTAAAGCATGCCAAATGTCGGGAGTGAGGGCGGAATTATGTGGAAGGGGTGGGGGAGGGGAAGGGATTCAGTCGGGATTCGGATATATTTCAGTGGTAAAAGCATACCTAACGTCTTTGCTTATTCAATGCGACTCGAGTAGTGTCAGGACTTCACCTGCCTTGTTGCTCGATAATTTTTTACATTGTTTTACAGTAGGACGTACCTAATCAAAATATATGTGATAGAGGATATCTTACACAAGTTTACGTTCAAATTGTACCTATTGCTATTTTTTGCACACAATGATGTGATTGTCAGTTATTTCAATTTCTTGTAGAAAATTGACAGCGTATTATTTTTATTTCATATCGTCGTCAATTATCTGTCGTAAGGTGATGTTAGGCGAACTTCAACTGACATGTTTTCCTAGATGCAATGTTACTTTACCGGTAAAGGTTTGCATAAGGCGTTTATTTATTTATGTGAAGTGTCTGACGAATGCAACTTGTCGCATAAAAATTTACGTACACCAAGAAACCAAGCCCAAAGGCTACGTGTGTGCTTATATTTTCACATGCATTCGCTTCGAAATTCGGAAGTGTCTAGTAACTTCAACTTTGCATCCGTGATAAATATTTACACTTGTTTGTGCGTAGAACAGCTTTCACGGAATCCCTAATGCACTCATGAGTCATGACCACCTCTCGCCAGCGACTGCGAATTATGTATAGATTAGCATTTTGCCTGTGAAACGGATGCCCTGCAGTTCTCAATTCGATCCGTCCCTTTTATGATAACGATCTTACTTCCTTCTTAAATATGACCACTGGCATCATTGATCACGATGCCCTGCTCCGTGGGATGACGGTCAGCCCAGCTCGCTAATACTGGTGGAGAACGGTATTAATACTGATATTTTATTAGCTAATACTGGTGGAGAACAGCTAATACACTTTGTTACCTCCAGGCTGACTGGGTGATCTGACCTGTCCTACCATAGCACGCCTTTCGAGCTATGCATTCCTAGCTGATGAATATTTGTAATCGTACATCGTGTACCTATTTTACAGCGCTACATTATGTGCATGTGCTTTCATCGGCCTACATTGGTATTACAGTGATGCGCTTAATGAAGACAAAGAGCGCTTAAGTGCATAATTGTGCACTTTTTTATGAAGACTGATTGATGACTGTTGACGTCCTCGCTCTCTTTATAAAGCGGTGAACAGCATACCATGTTATGTGCCCGTTAAGTGGTGGAAATGAAATTTTTATTTTCATGATTCAGTAAGAAGTGACTCCAGTGCTCAGGAGTTGCATTGCAATGAACTAAGACGTCACTTGATCATACCAAATAAAATCCTCCGAGTGGGAACACCGTATTACATTCATGTCGTGCCTGCATTTCGGCCGAGGTCACCGCATTGCCGGGCCGGCTTGAGGCGTTTGCCTCGCTCACGCAACGAAATTGACGCGACGGCGCTCGTGGCTGCTGCGTGCGTTGGGGCAGTCATCCTATACCATACCGGGCTGTAGCTATGGAGATTGCATTTGCTAGCGCCGTTCAGTGACGTTCCCGGCGCGGTGGCGCTGATTGATGACGCATAGACGGCGATTTTCGGGAGGGGGGTAAAGATGGGGAGGGGTACGCAGCGTGACATGACCTCGTTTCTGGGACACTGACAGAATGTAACAGCGGCGGCCGGCCGAAGGCGGAGAAAACGACCCGTGACTTTGCGTCGATGGCGTTACCGTTGACGACAGCGGCCCCCGCAGAGCTGGCGGTGTTTAACTGCAGTTGGTAATGTCCAGTAGTTAGAAAGATCCCGTAGTTAACTGTAGTTAGTAATGTCCAGCCACCGCCTGGCATGTGTGTCGTGTGTGATATTTCGCCTCGGGGCACCAATAACCGGTTCCATGACGTGATTCATGAGGGCGACCAGCGATATAAGCGCCGATTAGACGCGGGGGCGCTGCAGGGGGGGGGGGGGACTGGTATACAGTCGGCGTAGTTAGGGCGAATGTCTCGATTGCAGCTAAAGGCTGGGGTACATGTAATTGGTTGGTGACACGGACAGGGTTATGGGACACCAGTATCCAAAAGATTACCCACCGCCGCTTACCGTTTGGCACACAATGAGCGCTGGTAGTTGGCCTGACCGATTAGGATGGTTAGCTACCGATTGGCTATGGAAGCTGATCTCCAACACTACTAATGGTTCGCCTGGGCTACGGACATGCGAATACATTACCTGGACCACTGAGCGTGCTAAATAGGAACAGAGGCGGTAACGAAACAAGGCGAGATGGAAACACGAAAGCATGAAGTAGGCACGATCCGCAGTGCTCGCATAATTGCATCGTTCCCGGTTGCACATACGGTATGAACATTAGAGTTTGCCAAACCAATGCCAGGGCATTTGGTTGTCAGATCATCAAGTCAATTTGAGTAGTTTACTAGCTACTAGCTTGCGGTGATAGAAAATACCTATTTTAGGTTGCTGACAGGTCTTTTTGACATTCTAATTAGAATGATTTCAGAGTCTTGGGATGTGTGGCATGCGCCGTTGAATGGCAGTGATTTTGTTCGATGCTCCGTTGCCGAGGGGCAGACCCGGCGGGCAGGCCATCTGACACCTAGAAAAGGGATGGACTGCCTCATCGGCATTTATTGAAGCTACTACCATCACCCGACCCCCCTCACCGGTTATTTGCGTTGATGTGACCATCAGTATGAAATAAACGGTAGGTATCCTATGACAAATAATGCGTGTTGAGGGTCACCTAGTCCTGGCATAGAAATGAACGGATGGCGAGAGATAACTATTCGGTTTATCAGGCGGCCACTGCTCTGGCTGGTGAACCGATGCTTCTTATTCGTCGACGTTCTCAGTGAAGAGACAGGCCATCGGCCACCGGTGAACCTTGCTCACAATTACCACGGGTCACGGGAGTGTTTTTTAAATAAAAATATATTATGGCATTCTTGTTATTACTGCGCGCTGATCACGGGGGTACGGGGAAGGGAGGATTGGAGACATTATCGAGGGGTTCGAGACTGGCACGGGATGGTTGCCGGCCGGCCTATAAGTAGCAACATAAATTAGCACGCAGGCACACTCCTATATCGATTGGCGCGTCATCTATAGCTTTGCTGCGACTACCCCGACATCTATAAACTTCACACTACGTTGGCTTCACTGCAAGTTACAGGAATTATATTTGTTTGCTTTTTTAGAAAAACATCTTATAATATTTCCGGAATGAAATGATGCAATGATGTACAAATATCAGAAAAGCGACACTAGTAGGTATATGATAATTCAGCAAGCCTTATAATACAAATAAAATTGATACTGATACATTCAATGCGATTGTGAGACGAAAATGGTGTCAACAAAACATTGCACGCGTTGTGCTGTTGCGCACTGAAAAAGAAAGGAAGTCCGAAGCGTCCGAACCCGGAAGCCTAAAGGAAAAATTGAATTTACCTGGGTGAATATACTGTGATATGATATGCAACGTACTTCTTGAATAATTGCTATATCAATATTTTTTTTGCTGTATTTTGTAAATAATGGTACGTGCTTTGTTGTTGTTGTTGTTGTTGTTGTGGGTTAGGGCGGTAGGTACGTGCTTTGTTATGTATGGCACAAAGAGCATAAACCTGGGCATGAGGGCATGAGGGTGATAAACCGATCGGCGATGTGCAAATTTAGTTTGAACTTTGATCAATTCAGACCGAGATGAAGGCTGACAATTCAAATGATTTTATTTTGTTACCAGTCAGTTCAAGTAGGAAGTTGCGATGTTTTTGACGTTGAGAAAAATTCATGTATATCTTTATTATTCTTCAAATTAAGCTTTGCAACTAAAGCAGTGTGATTCAGGCACCCATAATGATTTTTTTAAATTTTATCTGGAAAACTAAAGCTTCAGCCTGCTTTTTACAGTTCTTGATTTTTGGTACAGTGGGTGTTTTTACTTTTTCTCCAAGTTGTGAGTTCAAGTTGTTATTTGTGGTTTCGTGAATTTCATTTTAACAAAGTAAAGCCAACCATTATATTTCACTTGAACGTTCCGAAGATTTAGTCTCGTATATCAACAGTAACACAGTGCATCTCACTGTGTTTCTATTTGGCTGACTAATGTAGCAAATACCAAATTGGGTATACCTATTAAACATTTGTTAATAACATTTAGAAGAATGGTGTGATAATTATTGAGAAACTGTATTTTGAAACACTTGGCAAATGCTATTTTTTATCTGCCCATTTGAAATTGTAATTGTTATATAATGCCTTTAATTATGCTAGCAATTGTATTACTCTAAATCTTATATTTTATTTTGTCCCATAGGCTTTGAATGTCAATCACATCAATCTGAGGGAAAATAAACACACAAGCATTAGGTGGCCCAGACGCGTCTTCCTCCCCAAGCTCAACTTCCCCGCTCTGCCGACAGATGTCTCTGCGCGTCGCAGGCCGGCCGGACCCTCCGGGACGCCGGGCGGCGCCGCTCCGCCGGCGATGATTCAGTCAGTGTGAGTTGCCGTCGCAGTGAGAAGTGAGTGAGCGTCCGCTCTCTAACTGACGACGTGTGAGGTCGACTGACGTGCGGCGAGCGTGTGTTGGGGAGACGAAGACAGCGCGCTGGCAGGAAAGGTGAGTTCGATGGTGAGGGCTTGGGGAGTGGTGGCTGGTCTGTGAGATTGTGTGGTAGGCTGTCTGTGGGTGTGACTGACGGGGACGACGTGTCGCTAAAACGGCTGGTGCTGCTGGCTGAGCCGTCTGTGACGTTGGGCTCGTGGAAAGGTGTGGTTGTTTCGTTCCGTCTCGATGCTGTGGGCCACACTGGTCCGTGATCGCAGCTTTCGGAAAATTCTGATGATTTTCTACCACAATCCGAAGCAGGATAGTTGCTGCTTTTATAGTCACAGCATTGAAATAGGATGGTTCTCATATCCATTGGTGAATTAGATGCGTTGTAGGGCAGTTTGGATGTGACGTGACGGTGTTCTTTTCACCATTTCTCTAAATAATCACCCGTAGCAACATTGAATAGCGAAAAGCATCGCCCTGCAAGCAATACTCTTTCAATGGTCTCTTGTGGAACCTCCGCCGTACTTAGCATCTCACTGCGTATTTCAGGAGGCCCATGTCGGGGACTCATGTCCAGACTGATCTCCGTACAAAGACCACTGTCCCAGACACTATTGCGGGGCGGGGGGGGGGGGGTCTGAGCACGACTCTGACCGTCAGCAGGCTATCGCGTCTGTTTGGTGACGTCACTGGGGCTGTTTGGTGACGTCACAACAGCTGCTGGACTCTGTCCGAGGGCTAATGGACGGCTGAGAGTGATGTGTGACGCCGTGGAAAGATAGCTGGAAGCTTTGCTGCGTCGGCCGTGAGGCTGTGGTTTAAAAGCTGCGAGAGTGCATGTTGCTGTCTACCATATCCACATGTCACGCAGGCTTGTAATCGATCTGGCATTTTTTTGCAGTTTGTAGGGTTATTAATGCAGATCAGTGAACTTCTTCGTGTCGCTAAAGTATATGGGAGGTAATGAAGGTGTTCAACATCGGACCAAATTTCCTATTTTTTGCTAAATTTCAACAAGCACTGTGAGGCGGAACATTGGTTGGACAGTGAGTTTGATTGTTATGATTCACTGGCGCGCTGTTTGAAAGTGACATATGCCATTTCACCGCCCGTGTCAAATGTCACAACAGACCCCACTGACAGCCCTGAGGGCAGTCGGGCTGACTGACAGACCAAATGGCAAACGTCAACCAGACAGCACTCCTACATTGGACGGTGGTGGTTCCTAACGCCGCTTCCTGGGTCAACTGAGAGTTTGGGATGGAGTCAGCTGACGTATTACGTAATGGCGTGGGGCCGTTTTAGTGGTGTGAATATCTCTGGGTGGCGGCTGGAGGTGGTTGCTGGATGTTTATTGCAGTTGGCCCGTGAATGAGCGACCTTTGACATGCTTCCATCCGTTCCTTGCGTGCTCGAAAATACGTATTTATCAACTACACATCATTTATTACATCATAACATTATTACACAATATCTAACGTAGCATCATAGCATGTCATTGATCACAGAACATCAATTTGTCGTAACGTTTTATCCCAGTCACAGCAACGATTTGTACCCTCGTATTCGCGCAGCCCGGGTGGGACCGCGGCTATGCGTTTACCATGGTTCCTGCCGAGGATGGAGGGGACCCTGAACCTCCTGGGGACGGTAAAATGGTGATTAATGATGGCGCCTTTGACCTTCGACGGACGCCGCTCCGCAGGATGGGAGGAGGCGAGGGGTAGTTTGGGTAGTTCACGAATTTGTCGAGGACTGGGGCTTACGAATGCGTGAGAGAAGGTCCAAGGTCTTGTTCGCCTTATGGTGCTCGGTGGATAGTGGGGTGGGTAGTGGATAGTGGGGTTAGTTGGAAATCTGAGAATGTTGCGTATTCTTTCAGCTTTTTATTTTCATATAGCAATGCTTCTTTCATACGATATTCTTAACTTCCTTATAACTGCACCCGAGAAGTGCCAACACTCACACGGAACTCCTGTCTCTACCGGGAGGACGCCATAAACCCCTTCCTCTCCTCTCCCTCCCCTCCTCCCTCCCCTCCCCTCCCCGCCCATACCTGGCGACCCCTAGCTCAGTTCACACCTCACCGGCCGTCTCCTGTGGCCCCATTCCGCCGCCATGTCTGACAGAACGGTCCAAATCCTTACTCCTTTGTCCCCTGAAGGACTGCCGGAAAGGGTCAAACCTGTCGATACTTCACTGGTGCCGCCGGGGCGTTTAATGGTTCGGAGGGGTGTGATCACAGTGCGGACAGGGTCAGGTTAGCCAAGCAGGGCCGGAGCGAGATACAATAACAGAGCTGTTACGTAGGAGCGGGGGGGGGGGGGTGAAGTGATTGGGGAGACGGATGTTGGTGTTCGCACTTTGTTTGGTTTGGGAGTGTTGTGTTGTGTGAGAGGAGACGGTATATGTTTATGGTACACTGTGTTACGTCAAAAGTGTTTATTATTTTAGTCACTTCAAACCAAAATACCTATTGAGCCGGAGATAATATACTCTGTAAGCATGTATGCAGAAGAGACAATCTACGCCACTTTCTACAAAACGCTATGACGATCATTTTGCCCATCACGTAGGTACCGTGGCTATGCCATCAATCACGTGGCCACCTGTCCTGGTCACGTGTCTCCATACCGCCGCCATGGGCGTGGTCACGTGCTCCCGGCCTGACTGCCAATCTGGGTCGCCGGTCACGGACTACCGGTATTGGGAACGAGGCACGGCCTGCCGCCCGAGACGGTGACGGAAGCTATAGCTCATGGAGCGTATTTGTATACAGTTGACCAAACCGTCCAGCAGATGTGTTTGGAATCGGTACATATTTCGTGCACTGCACGCCCGTTACAATGAAGGGCTCAGCACTGGACTGGGTCGCTACGATCTCTGCTTCGCATGATTGCACATAAATTGCTCACCGCTAGGATAAAACGTGATGAGTAGGTACCGCTTGCATGGCCGTAAAAACCGTCACACATGCGAGCGAGAAAAACGACCGACCTAATATAATATCTTGAAGCCATTGCACACTGTGTGGATGCCATCCATCAACATCACACCACGAATAAAGCTATCCTCTTACCCCGTCCATCTTTCTGACACCTTGCAACCCATGGGACCACCTGCACTGCCTTCCCGCGCCCGACTTCGGCATAAACGGCCGACTTTACGACTCTAGCCCTGCAGGCAGGCGGACGGTGGCACTGCCTTCGTGACCCACTGTCCGCTTCTCGAAACCGATCGAGAATGGCTCAATCAACGGCGGTGAACAACGCCCCTGGCCCTGCCTGGAACGGGTTGACGAATTGGCGCCCCAGTCTAGTTTGATATGCTTGACTGGGTGAGGGTTTAGTTTGTAAGGCTGACTAGTGACTGGGGCAGTGGCGGATCCAGGGGGGGGGGGCAAAATGGGCATTTGCCCCCCCCCCCCCCGAACGGCATAATTTTAACATTACGCCTATGGACGATGCATGGAAAGAATCGATAAATTGTTATGGTTTGCCCCCCCCCAAACCTCTGAGTTGGATCCGCCTCTGGACTGGGGGGGGGGGGCAGGGTCGATATTGTATGGTTCACTGGTTGAGTCAGGGTCAGAGTGGTGTTACACGTTACAGAGCTGTTTGGTTATGCATCGGCGCAGGGGTAATGGTTTGTGAAGTGCTTTGGCGATGTGGTATTTGCTGACTGGCTTGACTTGTCCCAGTGACACAATAGGTCATGGTCTGTCTGGGATTCTGGAAGGGGATTTATTGAGTGTGCAACGCTGAGCATTGAAAGCTCAGAATATCATATGCTCAGCAATAGTTCACGTGGGACGCTTCTTCGATATTGCACCTTTCAGACTCATCCATGACTTCATAAAGTTCGACTTCCTGCATTCACTCACGAATCTTCACTCTGCTCCATGAAACTCTCGCATATCCACACGAGTCGTTCTCCGACAGCGCGAATTCCCAGGTGTTGGCGTTTCTCACGGCATCCGTGGCGTTTGCCGCCCGCCTGGTCCGCGATACTCGCGCCTCCATGAGAACTCACAAGGCCGTGAGAACTTTGGATGGTAAATCGGCGGGTGTGGGCTGAAGTTGATTATTTGGCACAATTACCCACGGGGATGGGTGGGGAGCGCTGTGTCCCCGAGGGCTACGGGCTAAGGAAGTGGTGGAGACGGGCCTCATTATTGTATTTTGGTCGTCGGGACAATAGAGGTGGACTGGCGGGAGACGTTGTGCCTTGTGGGCTAATGTTTGGTCTGGTTGTAACTGAGCTCGGATGGATGTGTCGTGCTGTGGTTTTTGTCTGTGTCACGCTTGTACGAACAAGTGCACTTTTTCGGTTACGTGTCTTGTAAATTATAGACGCGTTTGGACAGGGTTGAAAAGTCGACATCTTGGAGCATTATTCTTCCGAGTTCCAACTGTTTTTCATACCCCAATCCTTCGTTCGCTCTGTTCACTAGAAGGGGCCACCGTTGTCGAAACAACTGCTTACATCAGTTCAGCCGTCAGCTGTTCAGCCATCCTGAGTCCGCGGTAATCACTTATCGCGCATACCATTTACCTGTCTAATGCCTATCAGGCCGTCTACCATCTGCCTACCTAATGCCTATCAGACGCCTCCAAGACGCCTTGTGCGCCACCGCGCGCCTTTCTGGGAGAGCCGGGAGGGACTCTTGAGAAGCGGGGGCTGTGAGAATGACGTGGTTTGGACCGTTTGGTGGGACGATGGAGTGGGATAGATAGGCAAGGGCTTTTTTTTTCTTCGTGGTTCCCGTGCTGTTTTTTCTTCGTCATATCTGTTGTTATCTACAACGGATGGACCCTCAAAACTTCGCGGGTGTTAATTCCAGAAGCCAGGTGTTCGTTCCAGAAATGCATGAACCCAACAGCCCTTCGTACTTTGGACGCGATAAGCTCCAACACGGAGGGACCTTTTGAGGCTGTGCTGGGCCATCCGTAGGTGGCGAGTCGAATCCCTGTTTGGACACGAGATTCTAGTATGTGGGAGGGCAGAGACAACTCCGATAGTAAGAATCTTCCTTATTCGTGTGGCTTGACTGATGCTTTGAG